AGCCCCCCCAGCACAGATGGGCTAGAACCGCCTATGTGGATTTTACTCACAGTGGTTATACGAATATTCAGTGCAGCTGCAACACGCTGGAAAAATATTCACAATTAAAGCCCAAGTAACCGCAGATTTGCAACAATATTTGGCAACGTAACCCATAAGTGCCAACCTAAATGTCATTTTATCGGCCGATTCGGTTAAATGCCAACAGTGTTCTGTCTTTTTTTAACTAAGGTTAAATAAAAAGGAGAATGAGCTCTCAGCTTGAAACGAATTTCAATTTCTTAGAAACTGCAATTGGTAATAATTTCGACGTCATTCATCACGTGCATACACTGTTTAAATAATTTCACTATAGCCATATTTTAACGATACCACGCCATAACAAAGAATTTTCAAACAGTCTTTTGCATGTAATATTGCTAACATAATAAACAAATTTCAAATAGTAGATTTTTCCACTTCGATTGCATCTGTTAAAAAACGAATTAAAACTAAATTATTTCAATCGCAGCTATTACGAATATAGTGTTTTGAATAATAAATTTGTTGACCCTGGTCGATATACGTATGTATGTACGATTTTTTTTTTTTTTTTTAGTATTATTTTAATTTTTTATTTTTTTCATTTCTGCAAATGTGTGCTTTACCTCTCTTTACCTCTCTCTCTCCGTCCCTTACCTACATTACTTGTCGCTTTATTTTCGCTTAGTTTTATTTTCTAGTTGCTAATAATAATCTCTGTACTCTTGTTAATTTTTCTTTTATTCTGTTTTAATTTGTTGCTATTACATTTTGAGGCCTCAACAGCATTTGTAAGATTATGCGTGACCTCGCAAAATAGGCTAAAATATGGGCCGATTAACTCATCTAGTCGTGTAAGTTAGCTGATGTAAAATGTTGTTTAAATTTACTTTTTGAGTTAATAAACGTCTTATTATTATTATTATTATAATTATTATTATTATTATTATTATTATTATTATTAATTTATTTTGTTCCTGGGTGGTAACACAGTTTGATGTTTGACCTTTCTTATTTGCAGTTAATTAAATAGAAAGCTAAAATATCCAAAATTTCTTCTAACAATAAATAAGGTTCAAGTTCAAAGATATATAGGTGTTTCTATGTAGAGTTCCCTGGTATAAAAAAAAAAACTTTCGCTAATTTTATAACAGTTTAACTATATAGACTTGTTTCCTTTTACCAAATCTACAAATTCAGGCCTTCACGTTCATAGTCTAGCAAAATTACTTTACATTTTTAAATTACTATTTACTGTTGGTACATACCTAATTACTTAGAAAATACTCTATTTTACATTTGGAAATTACTTTGAATGACGTTTCGCGCTGCCTCTTAATAACTGGCCACTTTTACTGACTTCTTCACATCGGTCTTCTTACTTTCGACTTTTGCCCGATCACTCATTTAATGGTTATTATCGAAGTACATCCCGATCACTGACTTCTTCTTGCCAAAGTCATCTTCAATATTGTTAGTTTCCTTTGTCTTGGAGTTGTTTTTCAGACCGCGATCTCCCCCAATTTACGAGCCTATGTCCTTCATACATTTTGCTATTTGGTCCTATTCTTATTATCGTAAGGTGAGCTCGTTTGTCTCAACTCACAGAGATTTTACGTCGATGCAGACGATGTAGCAATACTCGTTGAGAGGAAATCATCCCACGGTCACTAGAAATTTTAGGCACGTTGGAATGTTGAAGCATGGAATCACTTAAGAGGGTCCATGAACTTTGATACATACTCACATTTCATTTGAATTAGTATCTTGTTAACACGTATTTTCTGGTGTTGAAAAAGGGATTATCAACTTCTGCGCGATTAAGAAACCATCCTTCAAATACTGTGCTGATTAGAAATAATCCGACTTTGTCTGCATCCATATGAGCCTGACCTGAATCTCAGTTCTCACCTTTTGTGAAACATTATCAACTTTTATTGAACAAATTGACACTTATTTTAAATCATAGGCATATCCAGGAGGGGGGGCTGCCGGGCTGTATCCCACCCCAAAGCAAGTCTGGACTTTTTTTCAGCGTAATTTATATGACATGTACATTTTTTGTAAAAAAATAGAAATAAAATTAATTTTTTTCTATAAGATTTTTCTATGGCAAACGCCTAATGCAGTAAGGGAATCAGTGCTTTATCTTAATCATCTTGAATGTCCGAAATACTTCCTTCCTCGGGAGAGAATAAGGGGCTCCGTGAACAAAATGTCTCCTCTTACCAAAATAAAGCGAATAAGTGGTCCGATGCGAACATTTTTGACGCCTCGCTAAAAAGAATAGGTGCGTATAATTTGGGTATGTTACAGGTGAATTTTGACAAAAATAGGCAACTTTCAAATTTTTAAATTAATCTGTTAGTTATTCTGATAACATCAGTATACTTTTTTTCAAAAAAAAACGTTTGTTTTTGAAAATAAAATGATTTGAAAATCGAATTTTTAAACTGCTGTGAAAACGCGGGATAGGAGAGGAACGTCACTCTCCCAAACATGCGAGGATGCCGAATTTCTCATTAGTAAACCATTCCCAAACATGGCCGACATAAAACTAGTCACACCCTACACCCTATGACCTATTTTTGTCCTTTACTAGTGCGCAGCGTTTTTTTTTTTTTTTTCCTGGATACGCCAATGTTTGAAATCGTACAGAACAAATCTATACCTTTTCAACTTCAAATTGGGACTAAACAACTTTAAGTTGGGAACTAACAAAATCAAATTGAGAATTAACAATATCAAATTGGGAATAATCATATTTAATTTGGTACTAATCAACTTCAAATTGCGACTAATCAATTTTGATTTGGGAAGAAACAAATTCAAATTGGGAATAGACTTTCAATTTAGGAAATTATATTTGGGACTTTGACTTTGAGTTTGTTTTTTCTTTCGATTAAATTCAAGAAGTCCCTTATAGAATCATGGACTATTTCTTCGAATTTAAGAAAAATATTTGTGCCAGACATGTAGCTCAAATTCAACGCTTTATACCTGATGCGTTAAACATAGCTGATTATAGTGATTTGCAAATTGCGATTGAAAACATTTCATCAAAATGAGATTTTCCTCTATGTATCCAGTCATTTATACCTTATGTTCTTCTAACATGTTTGCTTTTCTTTGACCTTCACGTTTCCTTCGAACAACTGCTTGGGTACCTACCCATCGATAAGCAGTAGATTTTTTTATACCCAGTGTGTTAGCCAATCCTCTTCAGTCGCCTTTGATATTGAAAACATCACATATTTGCGTTTCAGCATTTTCTGCATCAGGTGGTTTAATTTAAGGCATTTTGTTAATTTAATATACGGTTTAAACGCGAAGCTGTCATTTGACTTGCAAAACTTTGAAATTTATTCAACAATTCCAATTTGAAGTTGATTAGTACCAAATTCAAATTGTTTATTTCCAATTTGATTTTGTTTATTCCCATTTTGAACGTGTTAGTTACCAATTAAAAGTTGATTAATCCCAATTTGAAATTGCTACGTTCCAAATTGAAATTGATTGATCCCAATTTGAAGTTGAAAAGGTATAGTAGGTATTTAGAAATTCCTAGAATAGGCATGCTCTAGACGTAAACAACTGTGTAATGACTCACAAAGTGACAAAAGACGAGTTCAGTTACTTCCAAAATTAATTCATTGATTAAATCTATTCAACGTTTTGCCTCGATCCAAATGTATAGTTTATTGCCGGCGGCATCCTTTGGGACAGGAATTTCAATAGAGACAAAGTAACATGTAGGTATTCGTACCTAGAAAAATAAAAATAAAATTTGAAATTGTCTTGAATCGGAGTGAAAAAATTCTTAAATCGTGAAAACCAGTGGAGTTCCAAGCGGCAAATCAATAATTTCCGATGTAAACAAAACAGTCTCAAATGGCAATTCGTGAAAGAGAGTTTTGATCGCGAACTTGAAGAAGTTATCAGAAATCGAGCAATAAATTCGGGATTGGTAGTAAATAAAATTACGCCTCGCGATGACAAGATACCCCTAGGAAGAGAATTGAACAATGGTATACTAAGGTAAATACTTTTGTGAACCTTAATTGTGATTATTGTGAACTTTAAATATTTGAAATATAACTTATCCATTGACTATTAGTAATATGCATTCACTACTCAAATTATTTTTATGCTAGTAAATCGTAAAAACTTTTAAGAGTATAATAGCAAAGTAGCGATTAAAAATAAAAATAAAGGATTCAATGAAATGTTTTTGAAATGAAAGTTACTATTTTAAGAGATAAGTCTTGGAGTAAAGAATGTTGTTCACTTCAGTATATAAATAAAGATATTTTAACCATTTTAAATGCAGAAGATTTGTGTACTTATTTTCACCCTTAGCAATTAGGAACCCTACCACTGTAGCCACCCTAGTAAAAATCTGTAACAAATTGGAAACCGCTCACCAACAATCAACATCTTGAACAGCGATACTAGGGCGAGCGCTAAAACTGAATTCTTAGAATCTGGCCGGGCTTTATACAATTTTGTAACAATAGGATGTGAAACTATCAGTGTAAGTTTTACTTTTTTCCCTGCGAATTAGTTAGGTTTGAAAAAAGAAAACATTCAACCAGAGCAGAATAATCGAAAAAGTGCTTCATTATAGGTACCCATTGAAAATCAACAAGAATTAAATTTTTACACTAAATTTGTCATACGATTTGTATAAACTACATAGGTCGTTCACAGAGCAACATTGTTTGTATTGGAGTGGAATAAATTGCATAAAATGTATACAAATAGCGTCACGCAATGCCAACACAACTCCTTGACCTTAACCCTAGTATTGAGTGGATTTTCTATAATATTGTGGTCTACCTACATTAACAATTCAGATAAGACGAAATTTGGAAAAATTTTCACGTCTAGACAATTCGGAGCAACGTTCTCATATGACCTTTGAACCTTTTATATTGAAATATCAATACAAAATTTCCATAGCTTGTTTTGATTTTCAGAGTCACAAAATCCCGAACCCAACTTTACATCCCCAGCCATCAGACCGCTTCACACCCAAAGACCATTCACTCCAAGAGACAAAGAACGTCATTTATTTGGCAACAAAAGAGCTAAAGGAGACAGGCCACCCAGTTCATTTAGGTTTGTCATTCGCAAAGAAACTCGAATAACCTTAGATTATTTTTAAAAATTTTCAGCCTACGATATTTGCAAAATGAAACAGATCTACCAATCACTCCACCTGATAACAGCGGCGTCTTTGGTCCGAGTACTTATGTTTCCAGACACCCTGCAACTCCCAGAATAACCGAGCTCAAAAGACACAACAGATCGAACTCTGTGACTGAACTAAATGGGGCTATTTTCAATATTGGACTCAAAGAATCGTGCAAAGTTAAATTGCCTTCATTAAGCAACAGACCGTTGCAGAAAAGGAAGCTTTTCAATACTACTACATCATTGGATAACTGTAAGATTTAATGAATTTGATTTTTTTTTCAATAAAGTAACTGTTCAATTATTATAAATTTTTCAGTACCCGAAGAAACCGAATATAAATCATCAGATCGTCGGAATGTGGAATCACGAAACGCCTTCAGCTCGCCGCAAGAACGTACAGATTTCAACCCAAACAGCAGCCCTTTTGGTCGACCTTCAGCCAAACAATCCAACCTTTCAGAATGCCTCCTCTTGGGACCACAAAACCTGATAAAGATCTTCGACAACAAGCACATCATCGAAAACTCAGAGAGCCTATTTACCAGCACAGGTTATCTAACAAAACAACTACCGTTGCACAAACAGAACGACTTAAGTAAAAGCTCGAATTATTCGGTTTTAGTTGATGGTACTAGAACTATTGATGATATTATGAACGAACTGAATAAAGCTGATCCGAAGAATTATAACGATGAGATTGTAAAGAGTCTGCTTGAAGAAATGTATGAGTTTATGGAAAAGGATGGACTGCTGGATGGTAAAATTAGTTCGAAGTTGAGGATTGTGATATTAAAATGCTTGTATCGGTTTGTGGAATCGAAAAACGAACAGATATTGATTAATATTGCTCAAATTATTTTGGCAGTAAGTTGACTTGTGATAATATATACCTACCTATTATTCATATAATAATAAATTTCAGATGAAAGTCACTGGCAATAATTTGAGTGGCGTATGTAAACTTATATTTAAAATTTCCAAAAATGATAGAAATGATAATTTGTTTTTGAGGAAAAGTCTTTTAGGTAAATGACTCATTTACTTTTGCAATTTCTTTTAATTTATTTATATTTTATAGAATTATTTTTGGATGCTTTGGGAAGATCGAGTCCAATAGATGATGCTGAAGCTTGCGTATATGCTTATGGAGCGTTGAAGTTTCTTACTATGAATTCAAAACTTTTACAAAAAGTTCTGGATTTGGGAATTTTGCCACTTATGGTTTTGCATATAAAATTAATCAATACTGCGGTAAGTGCAAACACTACATTAATCATAACATAATACTACTGATGAATTTTAATGCAAATGCTTAAATGATTTTATTGAACAAAGTTGCCACTACTAGCATCATTTCTCCATTATAGACTAGGCACCTTTTCAAAAATGAACAATGCAAGAAGCATTTCATGTAACAATTGGGGAAACAACGTTTTTAGGGTATTTCGACCCCGCTGAATACGAATCTACCTGTTGTCAAAGCGAAATTTGGACCAAAAGTCCGGTACCTATCTAAGATAGCGACCAAGATAGTGGTCAAAACTCTGTTGCCCTGTATCTCCCTTGTTCGTTGGCTTCTAATAATGATTCAAACAAACATTGTTTATTGCAAGATTGAAATAAAAAAAATAAAAAAATGATTCTAGTGTCGGAAGCTGAAGGCAATAATACAAGAAAGATAATAAATCAACTATTTAACTAGTTAAGACATTGGAGAGAGCGGTGGCACAACTTGGTACAAGTCAGTCAATTCTTCTTGCATGTGCACATTGTTGTCAGGCAGTGGGACGAACAATTGCAGGTTAGAATATCCGTGCAGGCTTTGGAGACGGGCTCAAGGGTCACGATGGGAATGTCCTCGTCTTAGTGAAGCCTCCACCCTCAGGATCCATTACCACCGGTAGGGCATGATGACCATTTGTCCACACGTTCACCTGAACAGTGGCGGCTCGTGACAATCCAAACTGGTGAGGCCCATGGCCCATCAAGTTAACCCAAACAAAATTTTCAAGTGTTACGCCCAAATTTTGACCCAAAATTTCATTAAAAGAACATCTGGGATATTTTTTTTTTGTATATTTCCAATGAAAATTTTCATTTCCCACAGTTGCAAAACAACAGCAGTAGGTACATAATTCTTATTTTAATACAAATATTGAGTTTCAAATTAACAAAATAAATTCCAAAAAACAGTTTTTTAACCCGCAACAGACCAAAATAAAAAGTATGAGCCAATTAACCAATTAAATACTTGTCGCAGCAGCAAGAGATGCAAGATTTCTTATTAACAAGCCCAAAATTGTGCGCCTCAATGCCTATAAAAATTCGCTATCGTCTCACCTACAGTTGAAGGGTTGTGGTGGGGAGTGCCGTGGCATCGCTTCGGCGTTCTGTGACGCACATGAGGCCAAAATTTGTGGGATTGCTATTTTATTTTAATGCTGTCCGGCAACGATTTGAGCGCCTATAAGGATAAATAGGTAGAAGCGCGCGCTAAATTCAAGAAATAGTATTATATTTTAATGAAAATTCGATGTTTTGATTCTTTTAATGATTGAAAATAGTTGAAAAACGTTAAATATTTAATAAATATTATTTCAAAATTTTACATCATTATTGTAATTTTTACATGTGAGGCCCCGCCTCAGTTGCTTTATACGACGAGCCGCCACTGCACCTGAAATGTTTTTTAAATTATAATTACCGAAAAGCAACTGGTTATACTGATCGCAGTATGCTTTCCATTCTTTCTTTACCTGGTAATGACATCTTAAGAGGTGTAGTTGCAGCACATCGCTTGTTGGAGGTAAGGCTTCTGGCTTTTTTACAACACCGAAAAGCTGATGTCTGGCTCCATCGCCGCTACATACATCTTTGGCCACCTGTTTAGAGAAATAGGAACGTTTTAACAATAAATTAATCTTTGGACTTGTTGAAACGCGCCGCCTAATTAAACTTCAAAGACCTTATAGAGCTGTACGAGGAAGTTCTCTGCATACGCCTTTGATGAGGGAGTTAGCGGAGAGTGCCTCAAGTTGTCCAAAAGTTGACAGGCCGTTCCATTGAAGAATTTCCACGCTGCTTTCTTCGTTATCATTACAAAGTGAGACGTCGAGTCGCAACCTGTAACATATATCGGTATCCCTGGCCATGACGACGATGTTGTCAGCATCAGAGTGTATCGGCCTCTTCATGTGTCGGTGCGAGGGCACTGACGTCGGATTCGGGGTTGCTTGATCGCACACCGTTTTCATGTATGAGCCCTCTGGAAAACAACAACTTCGATGGCCTTAAAGACATGTTGAAGAAAGCGGGCTAGGTCGGATTTATTTTCTCCCGGTGCTAGAAAATTCTTCCAATCTTTGGGCAGTGGAATGGCTGCACTTGTGATGTCCCTTCTGACTGGAGTAGCTCCCCTGGTCCGTCTGCAGCGGGTCCCGCTTTTAATTGACTTGGGACGATACCGGTCGAAAAGGATGTCGACTCTGGCATACGGTCTTCCAAGGTGAACTACCCTGTCGATGAAGATTGCATCGAGGTCTCCAAAAATAGTGCCATTTGCTGGTTTTCCTATGCTGTTTACTAAAGCTTGACTGTCTATTATCAGTTGCGAAGTGTTCCGATCAATGTCAATGGAGTTTGGGCATTTCACGCCTTCAGTAACGAATTTAATTATCGATGCTTTTTCAGACGATCTGAGGATGCCATCCATTTCCGCCAACGATAAAGGTACTGAAAGAAAGAGTGTTAATTTTAGTGGCATGCAGACGCATAAATTAAAAGTTGATGAAAAATTTTCTTGTCTCGACTGGGATTTGTAGGGGTCCTGGGTTCAAATCCCAGTCGAGACAAGAAAATTTTTCATCAACTTTTAATTTATGCGTCTGCATGCCACTAAAATTAACACTCTTTAAATTATATAACAGACGAAAAAAACTCTAAAAAAAATTGTAAAAATATTTGGCTTGATATTGATGGTTGGGCGTCCGATTCCGATGCCTGCCGATGTCGCTATATGTCGACGACGCATCTGGTTGAAGGGATAATGGATTCCAAACAACCATTAATTGCGAATGTGTTCCCCATACCTCCTAACTCACTCCCATACCAACGGTAACCGCCGAAGGTTGCCGATGGTCACAAACTAACAACTTAAAAATTGATGAAGGACTTGATCGACTGAGTAGAAATGAGACAGGTCTCGGTGACTCAGTTGGTAGATCATTACACTGGAAATGTAGGGGCCCTGGGTTCAAATCCCAGTCGAGACAAGAAAATTTTTCATCAACTTTTAATTTATGCGTCTGCATGCCACTAAAATTAACACTCTTTAAATTATATAACAGACGATAAAAACTCTAAAAAAAAAAAGTACTGAAAGAAGCTTGTTCTTCAAAATGGAGGGCAAATCAATTTGTCTGCCTGCTTCGTAAGCTACAATTAGACGACGTAGAACATTCCTGTCAGCCTCTACAACTTTTTCGGATCTTTGGTGTTCTTGACTTTGAAGAGGTCTGAGAGAGTCAAAGCAGAGTTTATCGGTATGGTAGCATAAAAACTTTTGACAGGTTTTTCAGAAGACTCCTAAAGAATAAGGCGCTGATTCACAAAGTTGATAACCAGATTTGGGCCGCGTTTCTTTGCTTCAAGGAGCGATGCGTGAATTTGTTTGGTTGCCCGGTCTTTTGTGGCGATGTTGCAGCCACTTAAGCTGGGAGCCGTAGAGTCCATTAAATTGAACGACTGCATAACCTTGAGAAGTGCATCTTCGTCGGAGTTTTCTCGTTTTTTTCAACCTAGTTTCTCCTCCCAACCGGTTTTCGATAGGCCTTTTCCATACAAAGCGAAGGTTTGCTGAGTGATTTCTCCTCTCCAGTGGAACGATAGAGCCCAGCGTTGAACCGTGGATACATCTTGAGTTGTCCCGACTAATCCACCTGCGCCCTTGCTGATGCCGACAACTCATTCGTGCGTGGTCTGGATCAACTTGGGAGAATTTTTGCGGAGAACGTAGCACTGCGAAGTCTCCATTCAAGAACTCTCCTTCAACTTCGGACGGTAACTGATTCACGTCACAGATGTACGCTGTGAGAGATCTCAAGTAATTTCCGTGGTCATATCGGGCGATGAATGGACGCATTTCCGTTAGAGCTGCTCGATATGTGTTCCACTTTCCATCTCGGTTTCCCCTCGTAAACATTAGTAGCGTCAGGATCATGCCCATATATAAAGGACCACCAAAATTCAAAATTTGGGCTTTCTTTGGACTTCTTTTTTACAAACTCAGACAATAATTGCAAGTTATTTTCGCTTTGAAGGAAATAGTTCAACTGTAGGGGTTCCTTCGATATGCGCATGAATTCTGTAGAATCGACGCAATACCTACTTTTCAAAAAAAAAAAACGCGATCTGAAGAGCTAAAATCTGCTATATAGCTTGGAGCGTAATCTTGTGAGCCCTCATCCCTTTTCCATAGGCCTTGCCGTCGATTACTTTGGATATACTGCCTTCAGCCATTAGTCCGCTTTCTAGCCACATTTTGATGAGGCTGCTTCCTCTCGTGCTTTCCGATAACCTTGAAGAAGTTCATAGCTATATAAAGTCCGCCCATCGTAAGAATAACTCGGCTTCCGAACACCATTTCAGTTCCAACAGCTTGCAATACAAGGCCTGGTCTGTTGTCAGTATCATATGATGCTTCCCAAGTTTGTCAGCAGCCGTAATGCATCTTCGAACGACGGTGTATTTAGTGTTGTCATCTCGTCAGCAGAATTCAGGATCAAGGGCATATATCCCATTGCCGAAACTTCGTAAGTAGAGCTGGATGATGATTTTTTATTAAATTCCGTCCATCCCAGCTTGATCCTGTTGTTCACACAAGAAATCCCGAAGGCCAAATCTTGTTTTCGAGACTCCTGGACACATAGCGGCAGGTTTTTCATATCTCCCGGCTCACTAACGCGAAACCAATGAGCTTCTACTGCTTTCGAAAAATATGGCTCCGGTCTCACCTTAGGAATTTTTGGTGGCAACAACTGATTCAGCACGTCGGGAACTTTCAATGTTGATTTGGGGTCAAGCTTCACAGTGCGCAACACTTCATCCGTTCTTTGGCCACCTCGTTGGAAAGCGACCATCTCGTGTTGCGTAGAAGGTCCTCTTACCATCAAGGGTCAGAATGTCGATGTTTTCCGCCGTATTATATGCAAAGCTGGCTCACTACTATCGTCAGTTTCAGGCACCTTGAAATATGGTGGGCTGGCGGCACCGGTAGCCTTGTCAAGAGACTTCAAAGTCACATTTGCGAGAGCTATCCGCTTGGAGGACCTGCTTATAGCTCATACAATGCCCCGCTGAGTGTAGCAGAGTTACAAGTTTACGAGATCGTGTCTGCTGATGTACAGATAAAGCTAATCCGGTATGTTTTGCTGTCAGTTTCTGACCGCCACTCACAGCATATACTATATCTTGGCCTATAGGGAGTTCAACGTTTTTGGGTGAAGGCCGTACTTGCAAAGTTTCTAAGATCTCGTCGTCTCCTTCATCATTGCTTGAATCATCGTCTTGGTCATCGACAACGTCGTCTCCACCTATCTGTACGCTCAGGAACAAATGAAGATTTTTCGGTATGATTGCGGCAGCCTCTTCTCGGGAAACATGAAGCCCTGAGTGACCCGGCGAATCTTGAAACTCCCCTCTTAGAAGAAGCGCAGCATAGACAAGAATTGAAAAATCATCATTGAGCACTTGTCTTGGGATCGAAACATCTTGATCGATGTCTCCTAAAGCAACATCCGCAGTCACCTTGGCCGAAAACATCCGGGGTATGAGGAGAGTCTGCCGTCCTGTGATGTCCTTGTTCAAGGGCTGGATAAAAAGGAACGAGTCCTTGATGGTGTTCTGCAATTTATCTTTAAAAGTTGACAAGCGCTATTCAAATGACTTCGGTATGTCAACGTCGATTGGCTCTTTGCAAATTTGGATCATAGGTAAATTACTTTTGCCAGACTCCTTCATCTGCATCTGTATTTTTTTCTGAATCCTCTCGGCCTTCACTATACCAGACTGTGGTATTTCACTCTAGATGCTATCAAGCATGGCATACAATGAATGCGGACAAACATTTGGTGATCATAATTAGCCAACATTCGTATAGTCTCATTCATTGGCTTTGACATCACCTGCCTCAGATCTTCGGTTTTATCGCTAATAGTTTATCAGAACAAATTCTATTTGCGGTTTCCTATGCCTAGCTAATAAACCCAACTGTTTAATTCATAATCCCTACTCAAAATAGTCATAATGGTATATTGGTAAGTGCATTATAAATTCCCTTCATATTCGCATTACTCGAGTTATTGATATTTATTTATGCAATAAAGTTCCACAGTTAATTATAAAGTCAAAAGTTTTTCTAGTAAAAATCACTCAAGTTTTTAGGCAATAAAAGACATTGTTAATTCACTTCTTATCATTCAGAATCATTGATAAAAATCAGAAAATTATTAAACACTAAAGTACTTACATTTTACTTTGCACACGTAAAATTACTTAATTAATTACTCAAAATTTTTAGCTAGCACGCACATAAATGTTGACGAATTTAATTGTTCTTTCTTTCATAATTTTTCCACTACTTTTTCAAAGACTGTTACCGAGGCAATACAAAAAACTTTCCGGACTGACACTTTAGGTACTGTAGATTTTAACTCAAACTGGATAGGACTGCGAACTCATCTCTCAACTGACAACTAACAACTCAACTAACAACTGCCTTCCTCTTTTTAAACCGCGGTATTTATATTAAATCGATCCCCCCAATTTTCTCTGTCCATGACAATTAGGATGATGCAATTTCCTTGAGATTTTTCTCATTTTTAGTCTAAAAAATCGAATAATTATGTCGTAATATCCTGATTTATCGAGGTCAAAACATTATTGGTTCAAGAATACCATAAATCATTCGATTTAATTAGGTACGCGATGGCCTCTCTAAAAAAAGTTTATTGATCGGATGTTGGATGACATCACGCTGGGTGTCGAAATACGTTAGCTTTAATTTGTTTCATTTTAATTTATCGATACTAATTTAGAAATACCGGAAATTAAGTTTTTGATTATTTGATAATTATTTAATTTTTACAGTAAAGACATTGGGATTTGCGGTCTAATTTCTGGATCATTACAACATACAGTGGCGGCAATATAGGTCCCGACGCCATTTTATGCCCAACTGCTTTGCTACTTTTAAATATAAATATACAGGGTGTCCCACGGTGGATGGCGTATTAGACGTTTATGGAGAACTAAAAAGCGGATAATTTTGAGAATTTGGCAACCGGGAAAAACGACCATGATCTACACTTTAAAAATATTTTTGACCATGCAGTGTTGCCGCTTCTACTCTAAACTAGTGGCAACATCGCTATTTTAAATGGAACACCCTGTATCTGATTACATATTTGGATTCTTCGTAAAATTCTGAGCAGATTTCATGTGATATACCCCATACCTAAGTTCAACTGTTTTGGAAATATTGACAGTTGAAAATTGACTTTTTGCAACTTTGACAGGCTGTGAAACTTGAAGGGTTAATTTTAGAGGAAACCCGATTTTACATTCCTGTCTTAGATTTTTATGAACTATCATTTTGCCAACTTTGAATTAAATCCATGAATAAAAATTCCAGTTAAATTTAATCTCCGGTTAAGTTCAAAGTTGCTGTCAAATGATAGTTTATGAAAATCTAAGATCGGAAAGTAAAATTGGTTTTCCTCTAAAATTAACCGTTTAGGTTTTACAGCCTGTGAAAGTTGCAAAAAGTCAATTTTCAAGTGTCAATATTTCCAAAACAGTTGAACTTAGGTATAGGGTATATCACATAAAATCTGCTCAGATTTAACGTAGAGTCCAAATATGCAGTCACATATAGGGTGTTCCATTTAAAATAGCGATGTTGCCACTAGTTTAGAGTGAAAGCGGCAACACCGCATAAAAAAAAATATTTTTAAAGTGTAGATTATGGTCGTTTATCCCGATTGCCAAATTTTCAAAATGAACCGCTTTTTAATTCTCCATTAACGTCTAATACGCCATCCATCGTGGGACACCCTGTATAGAATTTAAATGGACATCCATCAAAAAAAATTGAAAACAATGTATTTGATGTGCCTAATTATATTCATCGGATACGTTGTTTTCAATTTTTTATGATGTAGCAAGAGGTTGGGCACAAAATGGCGGCGTTTTCCATATGAATATAATATAGGATTTTAAAGAACTAATCAAAAAGAAGACCACAATTGTCGCCACTGTAGACTAGTATAGCGTTTTCTTTGTTCACCTATTGCGTTAAGTAATTTCTGAGTATTCCAATATGGTAAGCATCCGAGAAATCCACTAGATTCGTATTCAGCAGGGTCGAAATACCCTAAAAACATTGTTTCTCAAATTGTTACATGAAATGCTTCTTGCACTTTATAGAGATCGATTTCCTGATTATGGGCCTAGACTATTAGGATGAGTTTGATGACCTTCTAGTAACTTTTATTTTCTGTTTTCTGAATCTCTTATAAGGAACATTTAAACTCCTAAAAACATTTTTTCTTGTAGAAAACAGATAAAACTCCATTACCGAAACAAACCAACCACGTCCTTTTCCAACTAACAGGAGCTTTAAGAAATTTAGTTTCCGAAGAGCACATTTATGACAATTTCATTTTCTGCGGCACAATACCACAACTTTGTCAATCGTTGGAGTTATTTTCAAACGATGCCGATATTGTGGCCAATATATCACGTACTTTGAGTACAATATCTACAAACGACGTATGTTGTGATAGTTTAGTTGAAATCGACAACATTTACAAAACATTTATAAGGCTATTTAAAATCTATGAGGAAAACGAGGAAATTATTGTAAGGCTGACGTACACTCTGGGTAATATAGTTGCGAAGATTGACAATACAAGAGTTAAGGTAACCAGAATTAAAAGTATTAAACATTTTTCATAATAATTAATTAATTGCAGTTTTTCAAAGAAGAAAATTCAATTGAAAGTTTGTTAAACTTATGGACGACCTACTTAGAAAGGACTTTGCAGTTATGCTCATTAAAGATAGACAATATCAATGTGTCTAATGGAACCAGTGAGGATGTGATGATAAAGGTTATAATAAGGCTACAATTTATAAAAACATTAAATAAACAATTTCAATTGCAGGTTATTCGAGTGATAGCAAACATAGTTATAAATCCGGATATAGGCAAGGCAATCAACGAACAATACGGTAATAGGCTGATCGATGAATTTTTAAAAGTATTGATCAGCAATCCGTTTAAAAAGAACGAAGAGCTTGTATTATCTATTTTGAGTACGTTGAATAATTTGTCGTATTATTATTCGAGCGACTTGGAATTGGATGTCTTCCATGTGAAACAAATTGATATTGTTGAAAGTAAGTTTTAGTTTTATCATGTCTATGTGTTACAAATAGCAGGATTTGAATTTAAATTAGTACATAATTTTAAATACTTCAATACGCAGTACCTATATGCTTCATCTTTAATAGTTCCATGAGTTTTTAGTAGCCAGAAAAACTTTTGTAACTTCCATTCTTCAAAATTCATAGTTTTTCAACATTACATGTGTCTCAATTTCGTCTACGCGCCCTGTATTTAGTTGTAGGTTAAATTGGGTATTCAGGATGTCAAATCCTATTTGGGAATGGAAATTGATTCGTTTTTTTTTTCTTCTTTATTTTTTTTTTCTCTTTTTCTAATTGAATTGCGCGTTTTATGCCTAAAAATTGATACGGCTTTGCTAAATTTGGCTTTTAAAAATGCGCGCGTTCGAGAAAATAGACCTACGGTTTTTCGTTTGCCGCGACCGGTTAAATCAAGACGGTTTCGTTTGCACTCCTTCGCATCGGACTTGAACTTCCTGGAAGAGCTGGGCAACTGAGTGGAGTTTGAAAGTAAAGCCGGGTAAGGTGAAAAAATATCCTTTTCAGTTTCGATATCTTTCAATTTCAATTTAAAATCTTTCATCGATTACCATTCTATCAGCAACCTATGGATTTTCCAGTTTTAATTTCGCACAACATGGTAACAATGTGCGGTGCGAATATGTAGTTTCTGCTTTTGAAATTGTCTCCCAGATAGATTAATCTGAATAATAAAGATCTACTGATTTTGATATGCAGAGTTTTGAAAATCCTGCCTGTTTAGCAGTTTCTAGAATAGTTACTGACTTTCAAGAAATTCAAGATCAATCAATTAATCTTTCTTAAAATTTGAACTTCTCTAGAATCCATTTTTAAATTAAACTTCTCTAAACAGCTGAATGGACCCACGTTGTGGTGCAAATTTTGGAATATAGAAACCTTTGGCTTTACTAAATGGCTGCGTATCTACCATTAATTAATCTCCCTTTTTGTAAAGGGCAATAATAGATCTTCTACTTCGGTCACCATAATACCTATTTTGATTTATGATTATTGGGACTTTTCATGGAACTCCCTTATACTTTTCTCAAGGTTTAAGCAATATTTTTATCAAACAAGAAGTAACTTGAGGAATAAAACTTTGACTTTCCGTAATGGCTCTCATGTCCCTTTGTACATCGTCGGATTCGTCGGGTGTGCAAAGCTCTCACCCAAATGTTAAAGATATTGGGGTATATTCAGTGTTCCTAGAAAAACGCACGGAGGGAAATTTATCCTTCCATCGAGTATAGCAGCCTCCTACTAAAATTGATAGTTGGATCAAGGCGCATTTTCACCTTTAACAGGTATTAGGTGCTGATGAAAAGCTACATATATGCTTATCACTTATTATTGGCGTAGTGGCGTGCCATGGAAATTTGACAGGTTGACCCTCGTATAATAATGACATTTGATGACAAAATATTTTTCAAATTTCAGGGTTATGAAACAGAAAGCCGAGTTGCCAGAATGTGTAAAATATCTGAGTAAATTCAAATAGTAAAATTATTTAATTGGAAGAGTTGTGGCGAGCTTTTATCAAACAATGTTCTGAGATTTTTCCGTCACGATATTCTTCTTTTTCCTGGTCCTCTCTATCCAAATATCTTCCCTTGCAGGATCGTATTGTAACAAAACCTTATCTTTTTGAAAGGGTTGTAAGGCATAGGAGGGTGGGTAAGATCTCGACAATTTTTACATAAGGCCATTTTTTGAGGAAGCCTACATTTTCAGTTAGATAACCTCAAATATAGGTTACTAAAATGATGTATTAGAGAACCAATTCTGTAAAGCGTTTTCTTTAAAAATAATCTTGTATGTTGCCTTGCTTGAGTCCAATACCTCTCCATCAGAAGGGAGACATTGGAACAAAATAGGGGAGATTATGGACATGAGCAAAAACATGGTGCATTTAAGTAATAAAAATAGTTTATTTCAAGGTAAAGGTAAAATATTATATTTCGCCAAGTATAATTATTTTGAAAAATAACTAGAACAGATAAAAGATATAAATTCCTACATTTTAATTAAATTGAATGGAATTCTTGAAAATTTAAAGAATAGAAAAAAATAAAAACACAAATAAAAAAATCATCACTGCAAACCAAATTACGTCAAATCTAAATTGAAATAAATCTTGTCTCTAAATCTCTTTCTTCTATCCTTAATGGGAGATAGAAGTGAAGAAGTAATGTTGTAAAAAGGAACGAAAGCTTAATCATCTTTGAGAACTGTGAATCTATTTGATACAACGTGACGTTCTAAGAAGTTCACTTCATATCAATCAACTCTTCTTATAATTTTCGCTGCCTAATTTCTGACACTACTTTTACTGTAAACTTTGTCGTTATAGAACATGTTTCTGGAAGTTTTTTGCAATCAAAATTTTTCTCGTCGTTAATGAAAATTAATTAATCTTCTGATAAATTATCTATACATTCAATTCGATCCTCCTCCATATCCCTAATCGCTGTCTTCGGGAGTGTTAGTGGCAATTATGCATCTACCATCTATGGCGCAGGATAGTTTTTTGATGTTGATGGTTGTAGCTCTAGGTTGCCTTTTTGATGTGAATAGTTAGTTGCGGCTCTGGATATGAATAATTATTATAGATGGTGGGAGCCGGTTGATCCATTACGTGAGAGGAGGAAAAGTCTTCTTCTTTGAATATGTTTCGATAAAATGGCATTATTTCAGTGCATCTGGAACCTGATTTTTTTTTTGTTGGTGCAGCGGTTCTAACCCAAGCTTGTTAACATATCACAAGCAAATCCCAGAGCACCACATCCCGAAACACCTTGCAGCATTCTCTTGGCGTCATAGCGTATGCGGGGAAACGGAAATGCTCAAATTGGCGACAACGCTGTTCCGCTGGAAGACATTTGATCGTAATCAATTCACCTCTTTCACGAGAAGTGGCTTCTTTCCAAACATTTCAGGAACTCGTTGTACCGTCGTTACACCAGTCTACAAAAAAGAATTTGAAATAACATGAGTGGTTCAAAAAAGATTAAATTTTACCTCATCTAAATTATAAAATTGCATGAGTTCTAGAATTCGTTTGAGCATATTCATAAACTAATCGCCTTGTTGCGTTTGGCTTCAGACCGTAAAATGTAGAGGAACACTTCAGTGGATATTTCTCTTAAGCGTTTTACATCTGCATAGAAAATACTTATGACGTTATAAAATTTGGTGTAAGATAACATTTTCGAGACCTTTTTCTTGGACTTGTCTGACATAGTTCAATTCGGTTACCAACACTGGATTTCTTTACTCCATTTTTTCCTATCTGGATAGGACATGTTATTGTCAATCACATCACATCAACTAGCTTGTTTCATGGAATCAAGTCAGAACTCCCTGTCAGTCTTTTTCTATGTTCTTATTGTTATGTTCTTGCTGAACTGAAATGGAATATAATAATATGTTTCAACCATCATGTTGCCACAAGTTTTTGTTGCTGTTTTTCTTTTTGAAGGGAAGCTATGGACAACAAGGGAAGATGCTGTGCAGCCTCTCCCCTTGTGCACTTTATCGGATTAGCTTGAAAATATCAAAACCTCCCATTGGTATTTTTGTTCTGTGAGAACATAACTTTATCGGTTAACCTTGCTTTCTACTCTGACACAAAAAGTTAAACAAATAACATTAAAATAAACAATAAAATACTTAGCTCGCTTCTTTGAAATATTAGATCAACAATGCCAAAAATACAAAATTCCCATGAAAAGCTTTTTCAAAAAAAAAATATTTCACAAAAACAATCTGATCTGTGCCGGTTGACCATTCTGGAGATACTGTTGGCACCTTGGCGGGATAGATCAGAAAGCCGCAAGAGGCGGGAAATATTAGCGTGTCCATTATTAATGTTTTAATCTTCGCAGTGGATCAAAATGAAACAATCATTACTGATTATAATAATCTTGGATTTTATTCTTCTTGTATAAAATCAACTAAACATGTGCAAGGCTTACAACAACAACTTTTAGACTGCAATAATTGTAATGACACATGACACTAATAAACTAAACAAATGACTTGACAGTTTCCATATAAATACGTAACTTAAGGTGCTTTCAATACTCCTGCTCTTCTACACTTTGAACAGAGCACTTAGAACACAATAGAACAATATTTATTTCTAACACTCCTCCTCGATTGAATTTTTTTTATTTTACAAACAAATTTTACTTTCCATAAAAAAAAATGATAATCGCAAACTATTACATAACTTTACTTAAATCCCTACATTTAACAAACTGTTCTTTACATAAGGGTTTGGTTAGCATATCTGCTAAGTTTTGTTGACTTGATACATATTGAATTGATATTTCCTTTTGTGTCACCAGATCTTTTAGAAAATGACTCTTGATGTCTATGTGCTTAGCTCGCTTAGAATTTTCATGACTTTTGGACATATGAATTGCACTTTTATTGTCACAATAAAGTAAAATGTTAGCATTAATTTTAAAGTTTTTCAATATGCCTTTAATATTTATCAAGTCTTGTGCGCAAGCCGCCGCTGCAACATATTCTGCTTCAGCAGTAGACAGAGCAACACAACTTTGCTTTTTTGAAAACCATGCTATTGGATTGTTTCCATGAAATATTATAGTACCACTCACACTCTTCCTATCTTGTTTGTCTGAAGCCCAATCTGAATCCGTAAATGCATTTAAAGTATCTCTGTTTGATTCTTTATTTTTGACATAAGTTAAACCTTTGTTTTTTGTGCCATGTAGATATCTTAGAACTCTCTTTGCTGCGTTCCATACTTCATTTGTAGGCTTATCTAAATATCTACTCAAGTAAGTCACTGCGAATGTGATGTCAGGTCTACTTGTTGTTGATAAATAGATGAGTCCTCCGATTAATTGTCTATAAGGAACATCTATTATCTCATTCTTTTCATCATATTGAAACCCTTTTTCCATTGGTGTAGCTCTGCTATTGCAATCAGACATGTTAAA